CCGTAGATAATATTTCAAATCAATAATACCACAATATTCTAAATTAGATGGTGGTAGAGATGGGACATATAGTTTCAAATTCGATTGATGAATCGGTTTAATTGGTCCTTCGTCTCGATCCCTTTGTATCATGATTATATCCCTTTCCGTTGAGCCGTGTGCATGAAAGGTAAGTTCCTACAAATCTGATTGTTCATTATAGCTGCAGGATTTTAAGTATATTTATGTTTAATTTATACAAAATGATTAGTTAATAATTACTTCTTGTAATTTTGCGGAAATTTTCGTTATTTGAACTTTTTCTGATTTTAGATTGGAGAATACTTCTGTCATTATGTATTGTCCCGGAACGTACCCTGTACTTGGAATTCTTATTCGAACGCATATCGAACCTCTATTGAAGCAACAACAATGAAAATTTTTTAAGGTCTCATCGTCTATTCCTACCTGTAACCAAAATAACATTTATTAATATTTGATTTTAGAAATTGTTTTTTTTTTTTTGTTATTTCCTTTTGTTTAGGAAAAAAGGATTGCTTACGCATTGATGCGAAACAGGGTTTAAATCAAACCCTGTTACGACTGTAAATGCAGATTTAGTATTCCAATTGAATTTCCATGGTATATCGACAATTGCTTTTGCCGTATAACGAATATGTCCTATATGGTGTTCGAAACTACATGGTATGTTTATTGGTAATTGGAAAGAAAAATAATATACGCTTTCTCCTACCGGAAGTTCCACTTCGTTCTCTTCTACATTTGAAATGAATTGTTAATTAATTTGATTAATATTTTTTCTTTGATTGGGAATATTTGATCATATTGAATAATCAATGCTTACCTATTGATTTTCTTATCAGAGACTGTTCAATACTGAAATATTTTTCAGTAGCACTGTGACTTACAGTTTTTGTACTACTTTTACCATGTATATCTTCTTCCGTTTCTGTTGTCGTCCAATAAACGTGAGCTTCACCTTTGAAATATATTCTTACATCTGAAATTCATCGTTTTGAGATGATATTATTTATATAAATATATTTATTTTCATTTGTTTTTAATAAAATTTTATAATAAAAAAAACCATAAATAAATAATGATAATTTTTTTGGCTAAAAATTTATAATATTGTTCTTTTGTGGAGATAATAATTTTAAATTGTAAATAAATTTGTATCATTAAATGTAATTTTGTAATCATCAAATTTTAACGAGCTTATTGTTTCATTTTCTTGGATTACTAGCTTCATTTTGTTCATTAAATTCAAGATACGTGAATATCGATAGTAATATAAATGAGTGACCGAATTTCGAACGAAATTTTATATGTATAAACTTAGTTATATTATTTAAAATGCATTTATCCGTGAAAATTTAGTTGATAGATATAAATCTTATTAAATAGCATTTTAATCCTTCATAATAACATATATCTATATACTATACATTTTTTATTTATTTATTGCAATTATTAAAATGTATATATATTAATATAATTTATATTATATTATTTTATAATTATATATTATATAATTAAAAATATATATTTTTTTAATTATATAATATATTAATATAATAATAATATGAATTATTATTTTGTAATGCATTTATTTGAAAAAATATATTATGCTAATCAATAAGAAAGTTATTAGATAGTACACATTAATCCTTCGTAATAGCATTTAAACATATTACTGTATAACATATGTTACAGTAAATTAATAATACATTTTTTATTTACGTAATTTCAATTATTACTTTATATTGTTTATTTACTTTTAAATTGTATAATTTAATTTCAAGAAAAGTCTTTTGCGTGTTCTCAGAATTCAACATTATGTATTATTAGATTAAAAAATTTGATGAATTAAAGGATCGTTAGATTACGGCATTAATTTGTTTATAAGTTGCATATCCTGATCATCGTTTTCATTAATGAAAGCAATGATTAATATTAAATTGCCATTTTTATTTTTCTTTATATTTTTCTATATTTTATAGCTATAAGTAATATACTTGTTTCTTTATATGTTGATTAATGAATCGATCGTAAGTAAACTTGATGAACTTCATAGAAATAAAAGTAGATGAAATCGATAATATAATGTACATTATCTTATCATATATTATTGAACGACTCTATCAATGATAATTTAGCGATATTGTGTCTAATTATTAAGACGACTTATTTTAAATATAATTAAAAAATTGATTAATTATAAAATATTTTTCAAAAAAATTTAAAAAAATCGAATAATTAATCGATTGTTTTGATATTTCTTACCTCGAACACTTTTCGGTTCATCCAATACGATTGTTACAGAACCAGTTATATTTTCTCCTGGAATGTAAGTAGCACTAGGTTTATCAAATTTGACAATGAATATTCTCGGAGACATTTTTATTATTCACGATTATATAACGTTGATTTGAAAAATGAGGAAAAACAAAATTATTTGAAAATTCTTCTAATCGATTATCGAATGACGTCACCGAAACAAGTAATTTACATGAACATGCGTAATATACGACCACTGACAAAGTTCATGACACTTACTTGTTGTCTACTTGTTGGTTTCCTCACTACTATTCAATGTAAGCACGGTTTGGTCCAAGTTTTATCAAGATATTATTAGAATTTCCACGAGTTTTATACGATTTCAGCGACATCAATTGACAAATTATGAACTACACGGCAGAAGCACACAGTGTCGCCATCATGCGTCTTTGATTTTTTGTAGGTAAGTTTGTTAGACCGGTTACATCCAATTCAGGGGAAATTACGCCACTTGACTCAGCTCTTGGACTGTAAATGATGCGCGCGGCGCGCTTTTGTATCGACTGCTGACGGTGTTTGTATGTTAAATAAAAATTCAGCCTAACTATATTTTTTTTTGATTTTTCCCATTATTAAGAACTTGTATACCAATTTTTAGATTTTAAAAAATTGTTGCGACATACATGGTTTTTTCACAACTTTGACGCGCTGCTGATGCGTCCCGTTACGATATTTTGAAGACTGACGGTGTCCATATCATTTTTTAGTTAATTCACTATTCAGAAACCAATTTTGAGATTTTATAAAACTGTTGCATTTTTTTGCCACTCACCTCCTCGTCTATCCTATGGTTTTGACTTTTACACTGGTTTCTTATATTATTACATCTCTTTTATAATATTTTTGCCTCTGTAAATTGGTGAAAATATAAACAAAAATAAACGATTAGCAGCAAGGAAGGAAATAAAAACCGAGATAGAACATTCTTTTTTAAAGTGCAAACTTCTTTAGAATCGGGGTGATTTGAAATTCGATGAAACGGAAAAACGTGAAACTCGATGAAACGGAAATGCGTCACTAAAAAGAGATAAACATAAATACATTTATAGGATTTAGCCTGCGAGAAAATGAGATAGAGTACAGTATACAGTATTTCCTATTATCACGGTCTCCTCTTTATGCGGTGCTTCGTAAACTCCCCACTTTTGCTATTAAATGTTATACATATGTGTGCTTGGGTGCGTCTGCATATAGTGTCGAACCGACCAAGAGCAAAGGCATCGTGTATAGAGTATAGAATATATGTATATCTATATTGCACTGCTTAATACTTGCTCTGGTCTGAGACCCACGTGCGAATGATATACGAATGTATGTATACATGGGTTAATAAGTGTATGTGCACCTGAATATACGAAACGTAGATTCATATTATCTCAAACACATACTTAAAAATCAGTTAGTTCTTTGACTGGACATTAGATGGCAAATACCATTATCTCATGAAGTAAAAATTATATTCTGATTTACAGTAAGGAGCATAACTGAACCAATAAACAATAACAAAAGTATATATATATGATTCGAGCACTAGTTAAATTTAATATTTTAATTTATAGGATCATGTCTGTAATATATCTTGAAAATTTCTCAGCGTATAAAGCTAATTGTTAGTTGATGCAACTGCAAATGAGGAGTTGTAGCTCTCTTTTTTAAGCGTGAAGAACGATTCAGAGTATTATTGGTAAACTGATGATTGTTCACATCTTTTACTTAATAAAGGGGAGTTAGGAGAATCGGAGCTTTCACAGTAGATATTAAACGAATATTTAAAATTACATACATTTTTAATAATTAATTATATTGAATAATAATATGTTTCTTTTACAACGATTTTTGAAGAGACTATTTCTTTAGAATCGTTGTGATTAAAAACTCGATGAAACGAACAAAGTATGACCAAAATTGTTCCGTTCTTTGTCAAGTCATTTAAAGGAAAATTAGTACAACAAGAAAAAATAACATGGTTGTGTTGACCCATAATAAAGATATCTCAAATTCACAGAAAGACTATTATTTACCTGAGTTTCACAAAAAGATATATTATATTTACTTAAGTTAGGACAGAGTATCTAGTCGTCGATTAATATTCTACCATTTTTGTGTGTACCTATGGCTATCGCATTCGACATTCCATTTTGATTGCTAGAATTTGGAAATTGTAGTTTTTGTCAGCAACCACCACCCTAAGATGTAAGTATAGGGTGATCATATTATAATAAATGAACCTTACAATTATCTTACATCTGGTACTGTGCATTTGTCTTAATCTTGAATCTTCAATCAAGCTTGGCTTTTTGAAGGTTTCACTTCTAACATGTTGTGATCTGCACATATGTATTTCCATACTTAATATTACAAAGTGCAAGACAAGTATATCTAGTATATTAAAGTTGTATGTTAACGGCCATACCGTGATGAAAACACAAGTTCTCGTCCGATCACTTAAGTTAAGCATCACTGGGCACGGTTAGTACTTGGATGGGTGACCGCTTGGGAACACCGTGTGCTGTTAACACTTCTATTTTTTTTTTTTTTAAATTTATTTAGTAAATTTTAGCAAAATTTTCGTAAAATTGTACAAGTTATTTAAATTAAAAAAAATTATCGCCCATATATCAAGGAAATTTTCGCAAAAATTGTAATTATTAAATAAGTGTTTTAAATGTTATAAACAATATTCTTAAGTATTTTCTAGTAACATATAAAGCTTATAAATAAGTTTTTGCGGGCTTATTAGTATTAAATAAATAGGACACCTAACTTCATTTACCGTTAATTTGTACGATAATAATTACACGCTATCGATAGTGTGTTATCAATTTATTCTTTTAGAAATTATTTTAGTGATATATTAAAATTTAATCTTGTCGAACTTACGTCATTCATGTATGACTGTTTCTTTACGTTATCAATTTTAAATATTTTTTATTTCAACGATACAATCTGTTTGAGGTAACTGTTGATAAGAAATGTCGCTGTGTGGTCAGTGTTAGTAGGATTTGCGTTTCCTGATATTTTATAGATTTGTAGAAATTCTAGACTTTATTGTATTATGCAAAAAAAGAAAAAAAAAATACTTTAGAGTTAATTCATGATAAATATCAACGATTATTGACAAATTCGAACTTTTTAGCAATGTTTATCTATTCAATGTTTTATCTAATGATCCAGAGAATGTGTTAATATTTCGAATATTAACCAAGAGATGGAACTAGTGTAGGGAAAAGAAATAAATATATTTTTTAAATGAAAGACTTTATTTTCCAATTTTTAAATTTTAAGAGCCTTAAAATAAACTTATGGCTTATGAATAAAACAAAAAGTTTAAATAAATTTAATTATCTGTTAATTCTATGATGATAAAATATTAAACTTAGTTTTAAATATTACTTTAATATTTTTCGACAAGGTTCGATGATAAAAATGGATTTATATTTTTTCATTCATTTTCGAGACTTAATCAGAAGTTAAAATAACTTTACCCAAGTTTTATTAGTTTTATACTGTTGTTTTGATTTAATTTCAATAATTTCATTCATAAAATCGTGTTTATTTCAGAATTAAATAGTTTTTACATATGTATATGAATTATACATTATAAAATTTATTCAATTTTATATATAAGATTTTTCGAAATTCAAAATATCCATGTTTATTAAAATGTATGTTAGAAATTATTACATTTTGATAAAAATATTTACCGACATATAAAATTATTTCGAAAATATCTTCCTAGAAGATAATAGATTTTGCTTCCTTGTTTACGAATATATATGGTTATAGGGGCCATTATTCAAAAATTTTTTATAAATATTTGCAATTTTGAACAAAAATTTGAACAAAATCCGTGAGGGCAAGACCTTGGACTCCTCTTGTAAGAACTTTATTTTCAAAAACCCTAAATTTCGTTTAGTCCTGTAACATAAGTGACTACGTTTCGCTACTATAAAGGACTACCGATAGGATGATAGTCCAGTATATCCTGATTTTTAAGAGCTTAGACAGGAACCGCAAGCTGAGTAATTTATTGATCGAATAAAAGCACGCATTACCTAAATTGATTCTTATCTTAAGTTCGCTAAAAATATATTTTGAATTTTTTATCCTATAAAGTAACTTTTGGGACACTATATATATATATGTAAGTGTACTACTGTTACAATTGTAATACTGTTTTATATACTAAAATATAAACATACATTATATAAACAATTATATAGATATACATATACATACAAGATTTCACTTGAAGTATCTCGAGATTGAATCGTGCGTGCAATGAGAGAGAGAGAGAGAGAGAGAGATATAGAAAGAGAAAGGAATAGGAAACAGTAGGATGTAAATTCAAAGGTCATCAGTTAGGCTTGAGTTATTCCGTTTGGAACAGATCGTAACGTATGAGGGTGAAGGTTTGGAACGTATCTAGGAAAGGTACGTGAGTGGTGAGAACGAGGTAGGGATGCGATGAGGTAGAGGGTGAGGGTGACTTATATACGCGTTCCACCCCCTCAGTAGCGTGCGAGCCATCGACGAGGCAGGTAGTCACGCTTTTTCTCGTATTATTATCATCTTGATTCGATACTACAGTACATATTGAAAGTTCGTTGTTTCTTCCATACATCGTTGTTTGTTTCATCTTGATTTTATTCTCTTTCTCTTTTATCTAAATTAATTCGTTTCCTTGTTTTTTTTTTCTTTTTTTTTCGTTTTATCTCCGCTTTTCCTTTTATTTATTATTTCTTTTCCCCCTTTTTATATGTTGTTTATTTCTTTTTTTTCTCGATTTGTAGATATCAACGAGATTACATTCTCCTTCGTTTTCTTGGAAGTTATTATCATCTTTGAAAGAGTGTAACATAAAAGACAAATGTAATAAAACTATTAACCCCTGGTGCAAGTAGTATATCCAGTATTTCTACGATCAACAGGTTAACTCGTATTGGCCGCATGACGAATTCTGTAAGTCTGACGATACACCATTGTATCTAGATTTTTGTTAATTCTCATTGTTTTTTCTTTCTTCTTCTTCTTGTTTTTTTTTTTTTTTTTTTTTTGACAATTAGTAATTCTTCTTGTTAAACTCTTTTGAGAGAATATTGTATATAGAGATGTTGTGTATTTTTGTTGGTGCTTATCTATTATACGTTTATGAAGATAATATAATTGTTATCATTTATTAAAGACTTGCTACAAAATACAGCCCTTTAGAATGTTCAATGTTACAATAAAATAGTAACGAGACTAGTCTGAATAATTCCCATATTATCTATGTATAGTGTAGAAAAATTTAATAAGATGTCACAAAGCCTTCTTCTTTCAACTTTTTATCACGAATGTGATAATATCTTATTCCATTCTCTATTTTTCCCTTTATTTACATTGATTTTTTTATTTATATTATTGTCAATGCGAAAGCATACTAAATTTTAGACGAATATATTTGTTCATACTTGCATTAAACAACTAAACGAATTTTTTCTTTCTTTTCTTTTCTTTTCTTTTTTTTTTTTTTACCGTGTTTATGTTATTAATACATTTCGTTAATAAGTATTATATAATCGATGAATAATCGATAAACAATAATAATACACGTTGAAGACAGTTATCAATGTTAATTTCCATAAACTCGTCTAGTTTTTGATAACATTACTGGATAAATCATTTAAGAAACATATTTTTTTTATTGTTCTTCGTATCGATATGTAAAAAGAGAGTTATCTTTCTCTTTCTCGTTTATTTAACCTTTCATAAATCTCGAATATTCATTACAAAAGATCTTCCCTCTCTCTCTCTCTCTCTTTCTCCTTCTCTTTCTCTCATGTTCTCAGACAAGGGTGGATTTTCTTCACATTATCATACGAAGCTATAGAAACTTGCGTAACTTATAATCATCCTTTTTGCATTAGGCTCGCAGAAATGAAAACAATGACTTTGTATTCTCGCATTATTTATTCAAATCTAATGAGTTTTCTTTCAAATGTTATCCACGTGTTTAGATAATTCTTATAATCATTGAATTGTTGTTCTTTTTCTTTTTCCCTTCTCAATTACTTTATAACACGTGCAGGAAAGTAAATGAGATCTTCAGTAGATATAATGAATATTTGATTTGACAAAGAAAAATAGAAAAAGTGACATAAAGAACAGGAGAAAGAGAGGACATATCGATATCATAATCGAAATTTATATTTTATGTTAATATCGATAACAATTAGAAGATGAATCATCATCATCATCATCATGAGAAAAAGATAAGGAAGTTTCAATGTTAAGGATCAAGGAAGGAGCGTTAATTTAGAGGATACGTTATTTTGAATTAAATTAAAAGAAGAAAGTGTAAGAATTAAAGAAGACATTTAGAAAATTTATAGAAAAATGGCAACGAATAGTCCAGAATCATCGAACCAATTGAAATCTCCAAGGAGTCCACGTCAATTACCTCAGATACCGATCTCAGGACAAAGGAGTCCTTGTCAGATGTCGGTTACAAATACACCGGGTACACCTCTTGTATTTAAATTCCCAGCCAAATATTATCCGGAAACACCTAACACGAATTTCGATTTCGATGGATTTACATCTACGGCAGACTCTGATAAAGTTGGATCATCGCGAAGTCCATCTTATTATTCGTTGAATAAAAATCAAAAAAGTGCGAATAGCAGTGATACCTCGTTACATTCGATTAACAGAAAATCAACTGTTTTTAAATTTTGTGATCCTAAAAAGAGTCTTGGTAAGACAATGAGTTATCCACCCAAAAGTCCAATATCATCTTCAAATAATAATACGATGAATGATAGTCATGGATCAGTAAGTTCATTTAATTTTTCACCTAAAAGTCCGAAAATGTTTGATCGTCGAAGAAATTCATCCTTCGTTCTGGGTGGGCTTAACAGTCCAATTTCACCGACTATAGTTGCTCCTACATCTTCCTCGTCTCACTGTAGTCCCAAACACTCAGATTCTGAATTGAGATCTCCTAAGGAAGGAAATGTTGTCATTGAAGACGAAAACGTTGATCAAAATTGTTCGATAAATGAGAAAATTCATGCGAGTAAAATGGGTGGATACTTGAATCGTAGTCAGGGATGCTTGAACGATACTACTAGAAATCGTGAAGGAAGTTCACTTAATAAAAGAAATAATAAAAATGAGAAAAATATGGCCAGAAGATCGACCAGTGATCTCACCGAGATTGAAGATGCTGAAACCGAAGTCACTTTATTGTCTAGTCCAAGAAGACGAGGATCCATGAAAGGTGGACTAGGTAAAATGACTATGTATTTTTTTCGTGTGTGTTCTATTTTATTCATAATCATTTGAAATATTATTTCTATAGATCTATCAATTGTTTTTACCCTGGTCGTCTATTGACATATATCGTATTGGCAACAAATTATTAAACATTATATTCTTAAAAACGATTAATAAGATAATGTGACCAGTTTGATATTTATAAAATTTGTTATCGTAGGTATTTGCGATAAATAAAAACTTAACAAAAATATCGATTGAACGTATTCGTGAAAAGTCAATAGAAGATGGGTAAAAGGTAAACGCGCGGGGGTTTTTTTTTTTTTTTTAATTCTATTTGGTTACGCGTGTGCACGTGTAATGAAGATAAGAGGAACAATCACTCATTCCTGCGTCGTCGTTACCTACACATAAAAGCCCAAAAAGCCAAACTGTCGATAATTGATTTTCGCGGTGGTCTTTTGCGAAGCGAGATTGAATCTATGGAGATTTAAAAATCAATGAAAAAAGTATTTCACGTTGCTCGACAATATTTTCATTTTTATTTCTTTTATATATTATTATTATTATTATTATTATTATTCATTGTTTCTTTTCCTTTTGTTCTATCTATTCTTAATTATAACATCGTTAATATTTTTAATTTATTATTAATAAATAATTTTAAATGATAAAATATATTGAATAAAACAATTGCAATAGTTAAACAATTATGTAAAACATTCAAATGAGCTAATTTTATTGTTTCATATTTACAATTTTTCATATGTTAATGTAATGCATCATTTTACGGACGTATTATAACAAGAATAATTACAAACGCATTGGAGTGAGTGATTTCAATTATTCTCTTTTCTCAATAGTTAGCTTACACATTTAATTCGTAATCCTTCTTACTTTCTTTATCTGAAAAGTCAAGGATTTAGAAGATCAATGCTTAAAAGTAGAAAAGCTTGCCCTCAAGCTTAGAACACGTTCCTTTGTTACACAAGTTTCTATTATGAAAATTGATTTTTGAATAAATTTCAGTTAAATATTAAATTACTTATAACATTGATCTTTTATATAATTGAAATGCTCAAATTATGTTTAAAAAAGAAAAGTGATATATATATATATATATATATATATTATTTTAAATCAAGTTTAAATATTAATCCTCTACAATTCTATTTAACCCTGAAGTTATGATATCTTTTTATGTTTAATTTAATTTTGTATATATATATATATATATATATTATACTGTAATCCTTGTTTTATATTATCAGTAAAATTCTGTTTACCTATTATGAATTCTATCTTTAAATATCAGATTTAATCCAATAGTTTCATTAAAAGTATTTCATTTATTGTTAACTTATAATTAGAAGATTGATATTGGTTAACTTCAAGATATTGTCTTAAAGAAAATTTAATGAATTCTTTAAATTTATTCCTCATTTGTATTTAGAGATTGATAATATATATTTGTTGATTTAATATTATATAATATTATATTTAGAAAATTAGGTGGGAACATTTGTGTTATAGAGGATTAAATAACATTTATTGATGTATCAATAAAATAAAATTAAATAAAATAAAATAATGTTTAAAGAATATAGATATAAGAGTATATAAATTAGATTAGCTAGAGGAGTATTAGAGAGTTAAGAGATGAAACATATGCAACGATGACAAAATTATCTTCATTGCATTAATTTGAGTACTTAGATAATTTGATAATTATATTTGATCATCGTGCATATATATATATATATGAACATATGAGCAATTTATATGCAGTGCCGATAAATATTAGCTGTTAGTCTATACATCAAAGTAGGAGTATTATTTACCTATGCAGTATATGAGAATATAATGTATAATAGCAAGAAGGAAATGTAGAAACGTGGTTACATCCCGCGATATTGGTTATCGCTGCTTCGGCAATCCCTTTGATCATTGGAATTTTGATGAAATTCTCCGATGTTCCAGCTTACCTGGCGTCACGTCGTGGCTCTCGCGATAGTCAATGCTCCAACGTATCGAATATTAGTAACGAGGATGTTGGTCCATTGAATTTCAACGCTCATCCGCATAACCGACGACGAAGGACTTCCAATTTCCTCGAATTACCAGGTATATACTTTGTAATTTAATTTATAATATATATATATATATATTTATACATTACAGTTAATAATTTCATATAATGATTGAATTCATTTTCATTCGATAGATTATAAAATAATATATTTATTAAATATATATGTATATATAAAGATGTTTGAATTTTTATATAAACAAAATAAGAAACAATTTGTTAATTTAATTACAAAATAACAAACTAACATTCGTGATTAATGTATAATAATAAAATGAGTGTAAATATGTATATATATATATATATATATATATATATATATATATATATATATTATATATAATTAATAATATGAACATAATGACGATTAGTGAACATCGTTCTTTGTTTTTTGTCTTGTTTAGATTTAAAAAAAAGAAATTTGTTTTATTTTGATTTAATCTTTGATTAGAACTTCATTTTGTCTAACTTGAATTAGAAATAATTTGTGTGTAAATATTTGAGTTTTTGAGACCAACATCTATGTCAACTGCTGTAATGTTTACCCGAACGTAAATTAAAGGATAAAGTTGAATATCGCTATGTAAAAGCCAATATGACTTAATTATGAAATAGATAGTTAATGAAAACTGTTATTAGCAGGAGATCATACCAACATAAATAAAAGTTTATCGATACGATACATGATGCACATATATATATATATATATATATATATATATATATATATATATATATGCATATTGTACATAAATTTCATTGAAACGATACTAATGTAAGTTATTTATTGATAATTTTTATTTTTCTCTACATATTATATTGATCGTTCATTCATATGGAGAGAAAAAGAGGAAAGGGAAAAGAACCAAAAAAAAAAAATTATTTGAAAAAAGTATAGTATAAAACTATGGCCATTAATGGTAATGGGGATCGCAAAGAAAAGATTGAAGTTATTTCGTGGATAGAATCGAGAACGATAAAAACTTAAGCATTATTGCTTCACCGTTATGCTTGAAACGTTGAAAATGCTTACCAACTAGAATATCGAGTTGTTTGCATAGAACAAGAATGAGATAGGAGCTTCTGAACTATTAAGGGTATCATAGTTACCATGGTCAAAAGTACAAAGCTTTTTTTTCTTTTCCAGCAACGATATATATATATATATATATATATATATATATATATATATATATATATATATCAATTACAAATATTTTATTAAATGTTTTTATTTTTATTCAAGCTGGGGACAGTGTATATTTAAATGTTTTCATATTTAAATAAATAATGATTTCATCACCGTTATTTATGTCTATCCAAATGGTAGAAATATTTTCCTAATTTCTAGCCTTGTTTAATTTTTTTTAGTAGAATTATTAGTTCAATATTTAAATAATATATAATAGAAAATTTACAAAAGGAAAAAGTCTATGTAAAATATCTTCTAAATTACTTAGATTTAATAGAAATGTAGTTTTACTTATAATCACATTTGTTTTATACTATTTGAATATTTTCATAATTTATCAGTTATTTAATTAGAATAATATATTACGTATCTATTTATTATTAAAAATCAAAACTCATACGTTGTGTATTATTTTACTTGTAATATTTGTCATGCAACATTTATGTACAATAATTTTTCTCCAAACGTATAATTCATAAAATATATTTTTATAGATTTTTATTATATAGCTTATCTTATACATACACATATTTTCACTAAACTTGAGCCGGATCAATATTAGCATTTTATGTTGCTTTTTTTTTTTTTCGTAGTAACGTCGAGAATACTGACAAAAGATCTTACAAAACTCAAGAAAGATGGATCTCTCATTTTTATAACATTCCTTTCTTTTGTTATCCCTCTGTAAAATATTTCTCTTCTTGTCTTATTTAAGAAAAAGAAACACACACACACAGTCATGATAGATGATCATAATTAGTAGATAGTTTGTGATATGTGACAATATCTTCTTAATATATATATATATAAATTACGTGTCACGTTGTTTGTCCGCAATGGATTTCTAAACTACTGAACCGATTTTAATCAAATTTTGCACAATGTGTGCAGTTTCATTCAAATTGAAAGATAGGATAGTTTATATCTCAATTTATAATCGCAATATTATTTGTTTATTAACAAAGAGTCATGATTATCTCTGTTAGTTCGATAAGATTCTAACAGATGGCGGTATAAGGTAATTCGTTGACTTAAAGACGTGTTTATCGGACTGATTGTGAGTATTTAATAATATGCTAATAAATTTTTAGTTTTTATTTTTTACGTTTTTTTTTATTTTTATTTTTATTTYTTTTTTCACCTTTTAATAAATTCATTCTTAATCTTATTCACAGAAAATGAATTGAATAAAACTTCATAATCTATTCATTTATTATGGCGTAAGATTTGTTACCAGAGGGAGAATTTTTTTTTAGAGAAAAAAAAAGGAGAAATCAAATGAGAGATGAACGAAAGAAAGTAAAAACTTTGACCTCCATTTGGACAAAAGTAGTAATCATTCAAAATCGTTCGTATTACGGTCGTTGCACATAAGAAGAAAAGAAACGAAATAAAAAAAAAGAAAAAATGTGGTAGAAAAATGATGATTACAGTAATCACGCATACCTAAATACATACATATGTGTATGTACGTACATAAGTAAATTTATTTAAATCATTTTTTAAGGATAAGACCGAATCAATCATTATAAATAATAAATAGTTTTTTTTTTGTTCTTTCTAAATGAAAATAATTCTAAATAATAATTAAACTTTGAAGCAAAATATTTCTAATTTGTTGTTTAATCACCCTGTATAATACAATTTCCTTTGAAATTAGATACACGGTATAGTTAGATAGCAGTGACGTATTGGAGATAAGTGCATTCGATCATATGATAAGTTTCACTCACACTTACACGACCAGCTTGCAAACATGCTTTGATTCTCTAACCAAATCGTAGCAAACCTCAGACCTCAAACAGTGTCATAGATCTTTGAACTATCCGATAGAATATATATACATATATATATATATATATATATTCAAATTAAATTACTATTTTTTTATATAATGATAATAGGACGATCGAATAAGTAATATTTCAGTTGACTGTATAACAAATGATAGTATTAGTTTATTTTTGCTTTTCACTTTTGTTTTATACAAATATAAGTATTTAATAAAATGCAAATTACAATTATCCCACTTCCATCAAAATAAAACCTAATTATTATTTTTTAATATTAAATAATTGTTGTTATCAGGTAAGAGAAAGAAATTGATTTAGATAGTTGGTCGAGAAATAAGAAAAAAAAAAAAAAAGAAGAAATTTAACGCAGACATACGTATACAGATTTTCATTCGAGTGTCAGGTATCTTGTTTCTAGTCAAAGGAGAGATAATAGTCGTTGTAGTAGTAAATTTCTAACAAATTGAAAGAGAAGCGCCTCCGTTTACAGAAGTTTATCGTTTAATGCAAAACCGATTCGCTCATAGCAAAGAGAATAATTTGATCTGACAATGAGTTAGTATCTCCAGTTAAGAAATAAGTTTCTTTATGTAGCAAACTCGGCTTAATACTACTCAACTTTTTGTCAAGTTCACGAGAACCTTGTTAAATTTAATAAATGAATTTAAATAATTACTTATATATATATATATATATATTATACATATGTAATTAATAGAGATAACGTGTTTTATTCGTCTCTAAAGTTCTTGTTCTTAATAAATCGTTTATAAATTTAATGCAAAATGTCAAAAAATCAACTACAATTAAATAATTAATTTTAATGATGAATTATATATATATATATGAAAATTATAGAATTTCAATATTATATTACATACGATTTTCGAGTATTTATCATTTCACGTATTATACATTTTTTTGTTTTTTTCAATGAATTATAACTATTTTTTTTTTTTCACATAACAAAATTGCTTTAACAATTTATTCGAAATATTTAACAAGTGATGTGTACGCCTATCTATGGTTACATATAATGTTGAAACACTATAATTGTCAGTCAAAGTTAATATACTAGAGTGCAAAGGGATGCATCCTTTACTTCTACAAGGAAGTTCTTCAGTAGAATTTTGAGTGAGAAACTCATAGCAAGCAAGCTCGTCTTCTCTTTCTAATAAGGTATCGTCGTATTAGATGAACTTGTTGAGTGTCCCATGGACTGTAACCATATTAATGTTTCCACATAGTACTATCTTCTACAAACAAGCTATTCCTTGTACTATTTGCTCATCGATATACCTTAGAAAGACGTTCTGAAAAGGCAATTAGTATGATAAACTAACTCTTCTAACTTCCTTGTATTTTCATTGAACTTAACTTATTAATAATCTACTGAACTGTGTCTGAATTTCACGATTGTATATATTCTCTTTTTACATTGTTAGTTAAAGAAAATTATTGTTATTTAGTAGGCAAACCATTAATTTGAATTATGGCATATTTATTATTTATTACATTACATATTATCATATATAACTGTGCATATATCTTCTAATATATTTAAATTACGTGTCACGTTGTTTGTCAGCAATGGACTCTTAAACTACTGAACCGATTTTAATCAAATTCTACACACTGTGTGCAGTTTCATCCAACTTGAAAGATGAGATAGTTTATATCTTAATTTATAATCGCAATATTATTTGTTTATTAACAAAGAGTCATGATTATCTCTGTTAGTTCGATAAGATTTTAACAGATGACGGTATAAGGTAATTCGTTGACTTAAAGACGTGTGTATCGGACTGATTGTGAGCCACAGCAACGCGTGGCGGGGCACCCCTAGTATATATATAGAATTTAATAATGTACAAATACATTATATATATATATATATATATATATATATATATATATATATATATATATGTAACATAATGTTATCATCTTTTAACAATTCATTTATTATTTATTATAAAAAAAATAGATAAAAATAGTAATTTTTCTCGGATTATAAGCCAATTAATAGACACTTAAACACTTTTAAAAGGTTTGGGAATGCATATATTGAAATCATCGAAAGCGGAATAAAGTTTTTTTTTTTTTTATCAGTGGGAAACGTCTATCTCATTCGTTTAATATTTAACGTTCGTCAGATCGTCGAGTTAGGCACTCGTTGAATCGGTTGTAAAAGTTGAGAAACACGAGAAGTATGCGCGTTATTAACGGGAATTCATGCCTGTTTCATCATAGTTCTATCCTGTAATTAGAGCTTTGTTTAAACAAGTTCGAAAATTTGAATTTCAGTTGGAAAAGCGGCTTTTGAAATCCGCTTTTTTTTTTGTTTTACCTTATTCACCGACGAAAGTTAATTAAATTCATCCATAGTCATCGAATCCTTCGATGAATAGATCTTTTTTTTTTTTTTTTTTTTATTTGTTCTCTTTTAAGATAAATTTCGTTAATTTTATTCTGTTTTCTTTCCCCCCCCCCCCGCAAATAACTAACGTGAACTCGTTTAAAACACTCGAGAAAAAATGCCAAGTTTTGTATAAAGTTTTCCATACTACTTGACATTTTCCACGATGCGAGATTTACCGTTACATTTTGTTATAAATTATTTATTTATTTTGTTTTTGTTGTTGTTGTTGTTGTTGCTTTTGTTCAATCTAGTTAATCTAATTAAAAGTTAACCAACCATAAACAATGTTTGTTCAGCATGGTAACACAAACGATCATAGCACGTTCAATGGTTGTACGAGACAAGATCTTCAAAGATACACCTTCAGCTTCGTGGGAGAACACGACTGAATATCATGCTATTCATAGTTGAAACATTACTTGTGTTTGAAGATTATGTAGATACAGCTTTGTACAAATTGTTCAATGAATTCTATGACACGAATATCAAAATTCACTTATTTTTATAACACGAGCAACGAGTAATATCATTATAACAATCTTTTGTAAATATTTTTATATTACATTCTTCGATGATTTATTTGTATTTACAAATTGTAAAAGATTCATGTTTTATAAAATATTTTTTATTACGATTTTCGATGATATATTTGAACCTCTCTCTCTCTCTTGTTATTTACACAAGTTAATATATATATATATATATAAAAAAAGAACGATAGAACTAAATTGTTTATTTTTCAAATATTATAATATCTTATATACGAAGTTGTTATTTTATTCCATTAAAAATTGACAGCATGTCCGAATACGTTCATATAAATTTATTGTAACTGCGAAATTATTCAGTCTTCGAATCGGTCCTTTAAATATATTTTTCTTTCTCTTTCTCATCTTTTTTTTCTTGGGTAGAGTCCCACGAGAGAAACATTCTGATGAAATTTTGAAAACAAATTTTATATCTCCATCAGGAGAACTTTACAATAATAGATTGGAATGAACTTTTTTTTTGTTCTTCTCTCTCTCTCTCTCTCTCTTTCTCTTTCTCTTCTTTTTCTAATCGTCTTTTCAACACCATTTCAGTGCCGGATCATATTCGACCTCGAGTGCACAGTTTACCTGAAAAAGTTTACAACCCAAGAGCTTGTGATGATCTCTACACATTAAGGGAATTCAGTATAACTCACAAAGGAGTCGTCAATCGTGGAGATTCTATAATTTCTCGAGGCAGTAAAAGCAACACCTCGGTAAATAGTAGCAGGTAATTAACATTATCTTTTGTAAATCATGCATAGAATAATATTTTATTAAATGTTCCATTGCTATTTGTCGTATATTCATATTTTTTAATCATGCACGAATTATATAATATAATAAATTTGTATCGATTTGATTAAGATTTTATTCAATTTATTTATTATAATAAATTCAAGAAATTGTAAAAGAAAATGAATGATAAGATTGATTCTTCACTAAAATGATTTAAAACGAGATCGCGATATTGTTCGAAAGATTTTTCTCCAAAAATAATCCGAAAGAATGTTTTTTTTCTTATAGAAAAATGATATTTTCTTTGAAATCTATAGGCATGTCTTTGTTCTCCTTTTTGACGTAAGTAGGTTAACAAGGTGTGTAGAAATGTATATATATATATATATATATAGGTAAGAATGCTAGAACCTTTATGGTCGGGAAAAAGAGTTAGTTTGCAAAATTTCTAATCCAAAGAAGATCGTCAGATAAGGTTAAATATTGATAGAAGACATTTATTTACGTCTTTCTTGAAGAAGTTCGTCAATATCAATTTTCAAAGCTATTCGAAACGAAGCTTGCTTTTTTTTTCTTTTTTTTTTTCATTGATCAAATCTCACGAAACGACACTTGAAATTTTCATTTGTACTTTCCAACATTTGCCGATTGATAATATAACGTACATAAAAGATTTATCTCGAAAAAAGGACGTATTTTTCCAATATATTTTTTTTTTCTTTCATATACTTTTCTATTTACGTATCACGTACAAACTAATCGAAAATTGTTCGATAAAATGACTAATAAAGAAAGAAAAAAAAAAAAAAAAAAAAAAAGAAAAAGATACGCATTGTAATCCACATGGGAAAATTCGCAGAATATTTTCCGTGTCAGATCCTCATTCTGTTTTTCTTTATTCCCGTAGGTAAGTAATTCCATTCGGGCATAAAGGGCCGCCGGTAGGTTTAACGAAATACAAGAGTTGACCTTTAAGATCGATTTTCGAGACAGAAGAACACCGTAATACATACCTGGCGAATCGTATTAGGGTATGTTTTTTTTTTCCTTTCTTTTCTTTTTTTTCATTTATTTCTTTCCAACCAAACATCCTTATTTTTTCACCAAAACTCTTTTATTCTATTCTCATCTGATTATAATACTTTGTATATATTACATTTTGAATTCCTTTTTAGTATGCGGAAAGATTTACGCGAGTCGTTTCGTATAAAATGAAATAAATCAAATAGAAAATTCATTTACATTAATCAGAAGGATAATCATTATATGAGATAAAAAGAGAGAGAGAGAGAGAGAGAGAGAGCAGAAGGTAAAGGATTCTTCGTATCTTATGTAAATGATTATTTACTAAATCGTATATCAAATATTTAAAAACAAATCAATAAGATTCATAATAAAAGAATGACTCCTAGCTTTTCTTGATTTAAATCATATAAGAAGTTTCAAGAAACTGATACTGTTAAGGATAACGATAACACTGTACAAATATCGTTCTTGTTAAGCTTGGAAAATAAGGGAGTTGCACACAAGGGAAAAATGATAGTGAACAATTGTGTCATGGTTGCAAGTGTTCTGTGTAAAACAAGAACACTAGGAGTATATTTTCTTATAAATAAAGAAAATAAAGATGCATACACACACGTAAACACTAACACACACACACACACACAAACACTTGTTTTATTATCATCTATATATTTTTTTTCAGACTCCATAGACAGTGATGAGTGAAACACATCGATCATATTATTTTTAATTTACTCGAGATAAGAAGAGAGCGAGATGGAGTGAGAGAGAGAGAGAGAGAGAGAGAGATGTTAAATCAGCTTTTTTTTTTGTTCGCGAATAAATAAGTTAAAATATATACCGAGAGGGTGTGTCACTCAACTAGTAATAAATCAACAAGATTTCAGTATTGACGTTAGCAAAATCCTCAAATGCTTTACTTAAGTTTGTTCCTTGAGGTAGAAAGTCGTAGTTTATTTAGGTTTTATCGATAACTCATTGAAAGAGAACAATCTTTCGTACAGCATTTGTAATTTATTCTTATTTCGTATTTTTTGTTGATTAGTTCGTTACAATTACACATGTAAAGGTGCGATTTCATGCTGACGCTTGACGCTAGTTTTAGATAAGAAGCAGCGATAAAGCTGAAAATATTTGAGCTTTAAATTAATTAACGCTGGTATCATTTATTTGACGCTAAACAAGTAAAGATACAGGTAGTTACGCTTGTTAGATATTATTTAATAATTATTTATGAAATATTATAATATATAACATATTATGGATTTTGAAGAGATAATACCTATAACAATTCTCTGTTTCATATAAATTAAACAAATCATTTTTTGCTTTGTAAAAAATTAAATTGATACTCATGAAAATATAAACAAATATTTTAATATGCCTTACATGTTATACAAAAAACAAATGGTCATTAATAAATTGTATTGACAATGTTCATCTTCTTACAAGTATTTTATAAATTATTATTTTTGCACTGTTACATTGTACTGTGTTGTTGTTGATTCGAATAGGTTAGGGAATAACATAAATCGATAAGTCAACTTTCGATTGTTTTTACTTGTAAAACGCTATTTTAATTCGTCAATGTCGCTTGATGCTACAGTTTGACGCTCAGATTTGAAGCTGCTTCTTAACTAGATGGCACTTCAATCGAAATTATATAATGTGGTCAAATTTGACGCTCAAAGTTAGCGTCAAGCGTCAGCATGAAATCGCACCTTTACATGTTATCTTTAGTCGATTATTATATTTGTTTTTGTTTTTTGAAAAAAAAAAACAAAAAAATAATTTCTTCCTTCTGTCTCATTTACCAAGGAGAGACAAGAAAAAGGATAGAAATAGGAATCGATCGAATGATACAAATTTGTGTCACACCTCGACTGGACTCGAGGTGGATACCCGAAAAAAAAATGTAGTCGCCTGAATGAAAGATAGTTTTCGATAGGGAAAACGAAAGGGTAGAGATAAGACCGATTTTAACAACGACCCATCGAATGGTCTGCGAGCTTTCGAGCTTTCAAGTTTACGCTTATGTTCAGATAAGCTTTTTCACCTTTCTTCTTCTTTTCCTCCACTTTCTCCTCTTCCTCCATCATCGTCATCATTGTATTGTGTTTGCTTGTGTTAAGCTAGGGTTACGATAAAAAGTCGTTCGATAAGTCAGCCCTTCGTCAGAAATAAGGGTACTGGGTTAGACGCGTCTTTCCTAATAGTTTTCAAACTACAACAATCGGCGAGAAACTGTCTGCTACTTGCTAACGATTTTCCGGCCCCTTTCTTTTCTTTTCTTTTTTTTTCTCGTCTTTTCTTCAGAATATAAAAAACGTTCTTCTACGTGAACAGAACAAAAAAAAAAAAAAAGTCGAAGAAAAAAGAAGAAAAAGGTGAAAACACCTCGAGTATTTTACCTCTCAATTCTCTCTCTCTCTCTCNTCTCTCTCTCTCTCTCCTCGCATTTTCTTTTTTTCTTTCTTCACTTTGGAACGTTCTTTTCTCAGCAATAGAATCGACCACTGACACGTTATTCAAGGGATTTCAGTTTCTTCTCGAGCCTAGGAACTTTTTTCTTTCTCTTTTCCTCTCTCTCTCTTTCTCTCTCTCTCATTCATTTCTTTTCTTTCTCTCTTTATCTATATTCTTCTTGTCACCATTTTTACTGTCACACTAGAGTATTTGCTCTTGAGAAAAGGGGATAATGTTTTTGGACAAATGATAAACGAATCTTTTTCTCTCGTATGAAATCAACGTTGAAGGACTGATAAAGTGTGTCTTATAATGATTTATTCGATTTGCTTTTTTTTTTGGGGGGGGGGATTATCCAGGATATATATTGATATACTTGGATAAGGGAAAAAGGTCGTAAAGTATAATTTTTTATTAGACTTGCCTTTACCTTACGTTCTTTTGTTTATTTTTAACATTTTCAGGATAATATTTCAAAGGGAATGTTTTTATTTCATTTGAGATTGCAATAACTATTTTAGTCGAGGATGTTTCGATGAAATATTTCAAGCAATTTTGTGACTCGTCAAACTTAAACGTCATTTTCTATTTCAAGTAATTATTTTGCGAGTCTTTGTTCATGATCGCTCTCTCTCTCTCTTTTTCTCTCTCTCTCTCTTTAAAGTCTAGTCAAGTCAAAACATGATCAAACAAAAATTTCAATCGAAGAAGTTCCTCAAATGTTTTATATTTGGCAGATTATAAATTTCAGAGCCAATTGCAAACAGATAGTATTCGTGATTCAATAAAAACTTTTATTTAAAAAGTTATTTCGAATGTGAACGATCATATTAGGCTCAACACAAAGTTGATTTTTTTAATTAATTAAAAAAATTTGCGTTCATTTACTAAAGTTATTTCAAATTTGTATAATTTCTTATTTTTATATTTTCCCAGCAAAAATAAACAGAGTGATTTTTTTTTGACATAAGTTGACTCAATCGTTTTTAATTGCGTTTGATGAATATTTTCTCGTCATGGAGAAATAGTAATATTTCGTATTATCTGTTTATTTTTACAGTTTATTTTTAATTTAGGTGTATATATATATACCTACTTTACAAAAAAACCATCACAGCTAATTGGTAAAATATTGCAACAAATGTTAATTACTTTTCTTTCGCATAACGAGTATGTAACACAAACTATTACAATTTATCTGTAACGAGTACACTCGTCAATCATAACTAACTGGTTAATCTGTTAACCGGACGTATAAATACGTCAAACGTACTGCTTTTAAGCTAAAGGTACAAACTTTTTTGTAGTTTATATATAAATAAACAAAAAATATATATATTTCGTGGTCTTTTCATTTATTTTAAGAATAAATAATAAAAACAGATGTGTACAGATCACGCACGGTAGAAGTGAAACCTTCAAAGAAAACCAAGCTTCGAAATAATTGAATTGTAATACAGTGCCATCTATTGAAAGAACCATACAGAACCTAGATAAACCTCTAAATAAAAATCTTTAAATTAGTATTTAAAAAATAATTTCAAAAAAAAATCGCGATTAAAATTGTGCTATGTGCTAAGTTAGAAAAAATCACATTTGAAATAAAATTAATTTCATTAAGATAAGTTGAATAATTTCGGAATTATTAATGGACAAACATATTGCGCCATTGAATTTTTATATACAGAATTTTATTAATTAATTAATTAATTAATTAATTAATGAAATAATATAGAATTAAATTATATATTGAATTGTAGTAATTAATTAATTATTTTTGTTTCATCAGTTTTACGTTCTTCCGTTTTACGATTTTCAAATTACCCTAATTCTAAAGAAATTTTCACTACAATAAATAATAAATAAATTAAATATATTAAAAAAATATAAAAAGTTGCGTAATTAAATAGGAAATTTCCCGGTTAATGGGTTAAAAAATAATTGTATTTTTTTTTTTCTTTTAAAGAATAATAATAATAATAAAATTGAACACCGTTTTTTATGTGGCAGCAAAATGATAAACAAGATCATGATATAGCGTTGTTTGTATAGCTAATGTATACAGATATATCTTAATTCGTTAAGAAAGCACAAGTACAAATTTGTCGACTGTTCGGAAATAGCTTACAGAATACACAAAGCATGCGTAATACATACCGCTTTACCAACGTTTTACTGTCTCTTGGTTGCTGCTCCCGTTGTCATGATTTCAAGTTTAAATTTAATACACGAAATGGAAGGAGATAAAAAAAAAAAAAAAGAAAAAAAAAAGGAGAAACCATATCGTTCACTCTTCTATATTCCCTTGGGATACTTTGTATTATTTTTTTTCAGCCATTTTTTGTGTGCTTCGAGCTAAAATCATTCTCCTTCTGTTCTTATTCATTTTCTTACTCTTTCTCTCTCTCTCTCTATCATTTTTTTTTTTTTTTTTTTTTTCTTTTTCTTTTCTTTTTCTTTTCGTTTTCTTTTCTTTTCTTTTTTTTTTTTTTCAAAGAATAAAGATAAATATATAAATATCGATCGCATTAGATTATCTGAATTTCAATTGAAATAACTATTTTTTTTTTTTTGTCGCATTGTACGATTAGATAAAAGAAAAAAATGTACTATTTTTACGTTTTCACGTTCATATTTGAAAGTTTAGTTAGAACGTTGATATTTTCATTTAAACAGTGATGATGATCCGATATCGGTTAGATTACGATATTGATCGCATTGAATGTACAATGCGAGACATTTTCTCGAATATCGATTTGACAGATAAAATGGTTCTTAGTTTATTTATTAATTTGTTTAAATGACATTATTCTATTATTTCGCGTTATAAATGTTAGTTGTAATATATTTTGTTCATAATTTTCTAATATTTCACAATGTTATTATTTATACTTTTAAAACGAAACGATACGGTTGAAGGAAATTAGAGAAAATAGATATCTGGAAGAGATCAACGAAATAAACGAGTATGTTCTTTGTACGAATTGTTTAGAACCATAAAGACATGATTATCTTGCCAAGTTGAATTACTTTGTAACTGGCAGCGTTGAATTTAGTCAACGACAAAGGAGACTCACCAACCGTGGAATTCATTTAAACGTTGTCGGTTTTAAGGTACGAACAATTTTATAATAAAGAAACGTTCGAGATATCATCTTATTTTTCTCTAAACATATTGTTTTCTTTTTACGTTTATTCGTAAAGAATAATGACTCGTGTTTTTCTCACTTGATTTCAATCGAAAGATTTTACATTTTAATTAATTACATAAAAAGAAAGAAAGAAAGAAAGAAATAGCAAAAAAAAATATTTCACATTTCTCCATATAGTTGAATTATAATTACTTATTATTTATATTTTAATTAAATATTTAAATTAAATAATATATATTTAATAATTTAGTTATGTTTTATTTGATTGAAATAATATATAAGATAAAAATATTAAAATATAAGAGATTGTAAAATTTCCTAAAAAAAAAAAAAAAATATTATATTATAAATATCTAAAAATATATTTATAATATATAGAATAAAATTTTGCATTAATAATTTATAAAGTTTTTGTTTAATTATAATTACTTATTGTATTAAAATTAGATTCTTTTATGTTACAAGTAAAACAATATTTTGTTTCTTTTTACCAATTATTATATCCAAAATAAATATTAAATAAAAAAGAAAAAAATAAATATTGATTAATTATTATGAAAAGAAGAAAACAAATATTTTTACGTTTATAAGTATTTGTTTGAAAAATTTTATTATACAAAGATTAATTGATGCATCGAGATGAAAATCGGATGTGTCGAGACATGACAATGACGGAATATTTGCACGAAAAGGATTGAGCTAAGGAGAAGGGGGTAGTTGAGTGTGTCCAATAGTCGTTTAAAAGACGGACGAAAATCCGTAAAAGAAAAAAAAAAGAAAAAAACGGGGCTCTTTGCTATTTGGCGGCGAACCACGGCGTTTGGAGTGGAGCCAAACTCGTAGTCGAGACTTCTAGACGTTCTTTCTTCACTATATTCGTCTATTTTTTCTTCTTCTTCTACTTCTTCTTTTTCTTTTTCTTATTTTTTTTATTAAACGTAGACCTCTTCAATTACGATTGGCATTCCCAATTCTCTTTCTATCCTTGACCTGTCGTCGTTCGGTAAGAAACTCGATTTATCCTCCAATAAGAACTCCACATTGATTCTCGTTCATGATCTTCGATTATTTTTGTTGTTGTTGTTGTTGTTGTTATCATCTTGATCGTATCATTCGCGATAAGATTTTAATATAATGAATATAGTTTTTTTTTTTTTTAAATTATTTCTGTTAAAATATAACATTTGTATATAATGTAAATTAATCGAAATAAATGACTTTTCGGTTAATTCGATAAAAATTTCATTAAATATAAGAAATGTCAATAGACATTGTTAAAGATCAAGTTATGATATGACATTTGATATAATGTAGGAATTTCGTTTTCATTTTCTATTCAATAAATTAGAGTAATTAGTCGATTGAATAATTTAGCAAACCGTGTTTTAATCTCGACCACGTTCGCGATGCCTGCCCACTTGATTTTCCTGGGACTCTAGGATATTGTCGCGTGATAATTATTATTCATCTGTGTATTCAACCGACTCCTCGTACTCCATCGATCGATGTGACCTGCTCGATGACGTGGTTACCGATTTAATGGAAGTTGACGATTCGATTACAGATTTGGTTTGTACGCTTTGCGTGCTTTGCGACGATTTCACAGACTTCAATGCCGATTCGACGTTCAACGATTGCTCGACCAAACTACTTGCTGTATCGTTTGCTGAAAAATTCATTTCTATATTATTTTATGTCTTTCGTTGTTTATGCTTTTTTTTTTTTCTTTTTATATTTTGTTCTTATCAACTTTTTCGTAAAATAGAAAAAATATTCAGATTTTGGTCTGACAATTGTGTTTAATTTTTGCTTACCACACTTGGTTCAAAGGATCCAGACCTTTTTTGCAATTTCATTCATTTTTCTCAATTGTTCAACTTTGGTAATTTTTTTAACATATTTAAATTGAATTTAAAGCTATAAAATCTATATAGTCTTTTTAAGTAAGTATTAAAGAAGTTTCAAAAAAATATTGAAGTAAATCTATGCAATAATTTCTTTTTTATAACGATTTTTCTCGCTCGGGTCTTTTAGACCCGGGTGTGGTAAGCGTGTTACTCCATGAAGAGTTGTAAGCAAAGGTTAAAATATATATTATTTATATTGTACGATAATTATCACTATAGATTTCAATAATTTTCTTATTCTACTTACGAAATAATAATTTTTCGTATGATAAACATTCGAACGTGAAATTTATTTAAACGTAGAAACATAATTTTATCTTTGAGAAATAATTAGTTATTAGTTTTCTTTCCAATACTTTCTTTTGAAATAACATTTTGATAAATGTTTACTTTAATTTCATTTATTTTATGGATTTTTAGACTTATATAAATTTAAGAATCTTGTTAATTTTACGAAGTTATTTTTTAATATAATTAGCATCTCGTAATAATTATTAATTACTGTCTGTTAATCGATAATATGCTAAGTAAGTTATAAGAGAGTTTCAAGTCTTTACAAGTAGATTTCTTTTTTTTTTTTTGACGAATAATCAAAGTTCTATGAACTTTCGAGATTGATTATTTATATTAGGAAATGAAAATACGAATAAAGTCTCGTAATTGTCCAAAATTATTATTTATTGATCACGTGAAGAATATTTGGGTTTAATATCGAATAGCAGACGCGTCAAACAAATGTCAATGATATTCGAAATGATTATCTTTAATATACATTTGGTACATTATGAAATGAATTTAACCTATTTGCTTGCTATCGTACATTCAATACGGTTATAATATATTCTCTAAGAAATCCTTAAGCATAGCTCGTGATATTTTTAGCAAACAAAATGCTTGGCATAATTGTATCAAATGAAAAATTTCAACAATAAATTAATAATTCGTATAATAGTTCACACCAACACAAGGAAAGAATAATTTCAATAGTAAGAAAAAAATTAAACTTATTATGAAGAAAAAAAAAAGAAAAAAGAAAAAGAATAGAAAATAGAATAATTCAAAGAGATCGAAGAGATACATACAGAAGGAAGAAAATATTTTGTTTCTCAACAAATAAAAATAAAATAAGACAAAGAAAATACTCGAATACTCGAGGATAAAAAATTCCAAAAGAAAAACAAAAAAATGATACAATTTCACACGTTTAAGAATATTTTCCAAAATATTTATTTCCCTTATTTATGATTCTTACCTTTGGCAATTTCCATGATTGTAGAATTGTTTTTGAAATTTCGAAGATTAGTATGAAGGAGGAAGGAAAAACGCAATGTAGTATGGTGACACGAACCGGTCGAGATCGAACATACGAGTGAGTAGAACGACGGAGTTTCGGGTTATTCTAAATCAGCTCGTACGAGGGTGAAGGACGAGGTGGAGGAGGAGTAGGGTAATGATCACGTGGTAGATGACGATGGGCTTGATATACGCGGGGTGCTTTGGAAAAGTCTTCAAGAAAGATGCAACGAAGAATATTCGAGGAATTTCGTATGGCTCACAAATGAGTTTGTCACTGCTCTCGATGACGCTCATCTTTCTTCTTCATTTTGTTTTTTATCTTGTGTCATCCAAAAAAAGAGAGAGAGAGAGAGAGAGAGAAGAAAACAAATCATTATTTATTGAACATTAAATTCTTCGAATAATATTACATCTTACGATCATTTATTCCTAATCTTATTACAATCGAAATTGGATTAGAATTTAAATTGAGCATAGGGAACATTACTATCGAGAGGTTGATTGAAAAAAAGAAAATTGTGTCATTTCCGCGAGTAAAGTAAACATACGCACAATAAGAATAAAGAAAATCAAACACAGAGTCATTTTATATGTTCACTACGTTTAATTAATCTGCTTAATTAATCTTAAAATTGGAACTTAAATTAACTCAGGTATGACGTAGAAAATTGGTATTTTCTTCATAAAACGTTTTCGAATCTTATCGTTTTACTTTAATCTTCTTTAGCAAAGAGAGACTTTAAATAGAATTGGATTGTAGGAAAACTTATGAATCGATGTTCAGGATGAACGATTAAATGCGATTAGACATTTAAGATAGAAGAGAAATACATTAGTCGTGTTCTATTTCGATTCAAGTCCAGTACGGTCGTTCACTTATCCACGCGTAACGTTTTCTCTCGTTTTATTTAGTCTCTTGATCGAATTCAAAGCAACCCTTAAATTCTCTCAGTAGAACTCGAATTAAGCTTACTTAATACGCCGGACGGATTTTCATTCACGTCTCTCTTACAACGAAGAGAGATTACGGTTTCTGATTTTCCTGTCGTTCACGTTCACCACGTTCTCCTTCATTTCTCTGGCTTCTCTCTGTCTCTGTCTCTCTCTCTCTCTCTCTCTTCCTCTCTCTATCTCTATCTCTCCTTCTATCTCTCTAACTCCTTTAGCAGTTTCGATTTTCCGCTGAAATGCGTCGAATGCGCTAATTCGAGCGTGCTCGAAATATGATTAATACGATGATTAATAGTTTAAAGGTCATTTCAAGAAGCCCGATGAAATTTATCAAAATGAATTCCATTTCTTTTTTTTTTTTTAACAATTAGAGAATTGTATTCAGTGGAAAAATGATATCGTCGATTAATTTCATTATTACGCGATGATATGTTTGATTATATATTATATTAAATTATTAACGAGTATTTGTAATTATTAAAGTATCGGAAAATTAAACAAATTCTTTCCTCTTTTGTATAAAAAAAAAAATGTATATTATTCATAAAACACGTAACGTGTTTATGATGAAAAGGTTAACAGATAAGAAGGAAAATGTATTTCGTTAAAATATTTCTTTGTATATTTATAAACGAATAGTTAGAAAAATCGTGAAAGAAAATTGTCGGAAGTTCAGAACAACAGAATTTTAAATTTCTGAAAATGTTCCTTACAACTCACCAAGTTTTAATTTCAATTTGTTATTTTTATATACGTTGAATATACAGGAGGTGAAAATAAAAGTTCATTGCCATTTAGAATTCTCGTGATGTTTCGGTAAATTCCAAGGATAGTGGATGTATCTTATTGTCTGGAATTAAAGAAGGTAAATTGAAAAGGGGTAAGGTGGGGATGAAGGGAGGTCTATGCTCTACTTATGTACAATAGAAATTTCTCAAGAGAACGATGTGAAATTACCGAGGGTAGGATTTAAATATTGCGGTTGAAAATAATTTACATAATTATCTTAGACAGGTTTGATTAAACGAGAAAATCAGTAAAATTCTTAACGCGCTACTTTAGTAAATTTAGTAAACGTTTATAATTGCACATATACACATTTATGCATTGTATATACATCTGTCATAAATATATTAATTAATATATAATATATAATAATTAATTAAATAATTAATATATATATATATATTAATTTGTATTATGTTAAAAAGATATAAATAAAATATTTATATTTTCGAGTATTTAAGGATTATTGCCAAGTGTATTCTTGAATTTTCACTGTCTGTCTTCGTATAGCAGAAACATAAATTGGTTAAAATACGTTATACGTTGTGAGTCATCATACCAAGCCAGAAATTCTTCAGCGCCTTAAAACTTAACGATGTCTGTTCCATATAAAACATATGTAAGTGATTTTTAACGATGAGTGAATCTAAAGTCGTATGGGAATATGATGAATTCGTTGAGTGAAAAACTTTCTCTTATACTTTTATTAACAATTTTCTGAATACATTTGTATATATATATATATATGTTGCTTTATTTTTTTTCTACCATTTGCTTTCTCTTTCTTTTTTGTTTTATCCGAAAATCTATATTTACTTTTTCGTGCAGATACATCTTCGGTGTTCCCCTCTTCAACGAATCGTAAAAATAGCTTCATTAATTTTTTCTTTATACATATTTGAAAGAAACTTCCCCAAGATAGGTATATCTC